TTAATACTGTAACTATTACTTACATAATACAGACATGGTTTTAAAATCCATGAAAAACATTATACACATTCTCAACACTAGTCATTAATCCCTTATAACTATCGGTCAGACAATCGGTAATAACAGCCCTAAACGGAAAGCACAGCACAGAATGCATACCATATCCCAAATACATGGCACCGGTAAACAGGTCCGAGCGCTCGCCGGGTATGTCATCGCTTCCGCGCCAAACCATCTCTAGGGTCCGGTCTCTGACCCTCTTATCCCTGTCCTCGTAGTCCAGTCTCGAGAAAAACATGCCATCGAAGCCCATCTGTGCCAATAGGGAGGCCTGTTCTCGGCTGTGGCCGAAGGGGTCTATTTGCCACCCGATACGGGGCACACCGCAGGGCTCGCCCAGTATATCCCGGAGCCGTTTGAAGCCCCACGTCATCTGATCGATGATTGCGCTGTAGTGTGAGTTCGCCTCGTCGTTCATACTCCAGCCACCGCTGATCAGCTCTAACTGACCTATGGATCGAGTTAGTTAATTAATTATCATGGTATATTTTCAAAAATTATCTACATCATTTTTAGCAAATTGTTATATTACTTAATAATATATACAGTATTAACCAAAATGTTTGTTATTACCGTGATACCATTAAAGTAATAATTAAATATGGAACGCTAATTAAACATGGTAAATTATAACAATATAACAAACATAGTTAATTACAAACCATTATTAACTAATCGTTTGACAGTGTCTTTGACAGTATCGGTCTGATGTGTCCACCACTTCCAGAAGAATGCCGTCTCGACGTATATGAACCGGCGATCGGGCTCTCCGTCGAGCGCCTGTACCACCGAATCGAGTATATACTGAACGCCGGCGTTCTGTACGCCCTGTTTGGAGCCCCAGTAGTACTGGTCCAACGTCTTGAGCCAACCGACATCGTTGTGAGTGTGAGGCACTAAATGTACGTTCAGTTTCTTGGGATCCGTTGGGTGGCAATTGCCGTAATGACATTTGGGCTCAGGTAACGGGTTTGGGCCACCCGTACCCCCTGTGCCCCCAACAACGTGACTGTTTACCGCGCATACAGTGAATAACACTGTAATTGCAGTCAATAACAAGTTATTCATTACTTTTTTAATACACTTTTTTTTCTTATAACATGTGTTAGGGTTTTAACGTAAAAATTTCTGTCGACAATCAATGCATTGATTGTTCGTCTAATAAGTGTCTGAGAAATGCACGCAAAATATCTCAAGTCTTATACTGAATGACTTAAACATCAAGTTTTTTTTGCTGGTAATCAGTATTTGGTCTCAAAGTACAAGTGGTTTAACTTTATTTGACGAGTTAAGTAGACATA